TGTGTGTGTGTGTGTGTGTGTGTGTGTGTGTGTGTGTGTGTGTGTGTGTGTGTGTATGTTTCTCTGTCTTGCTCTTGACGCTCTCTCGCTTGCTTGTGCGCGGCCGCTGTCGCTCTATCTATCCCTTACTGGTACAAATACCAAGATGTGCAGAGACTAGCGTAACAATAGACCGTACTCATCGCCGAAATTTTTGAGAAACGTACAAAGAACGACAAAGCACATTTCTGGCCAGCTTTTCCCTGCTCGGCCGCTCAAGTTGAACGCTGCTGCATGCAATACGCTGTTATTACTCGCTCAGTTGTAGACCATTATATTCAAATTGCGCGCCCGCTGTCACAGCTATCTCTCGGTCACACTCCGCGCTCCATCTGCGCCCAGGTGCGTTCAAAGCTCTCGTTCGCTATCTCAAACACTCGCCTTCGTCCCCTACCGAACCGGGCGCTCCTCGTAAAAGTTAATTCAATGTTTGCTAGTGATTACCTTACGCCCCCACCCGCTAACGGAACCATTTATGGCTTTCGAACCTTAAGATGGAGCCGGTTTGCAAAGTGGGCAACACATTAGCACGCCTGGCCGCCACGCGCGGAGATCCACTTGACAGGTTCAGGTGATCTTGACAGCGTTTTAGAGAAAACCTACAAATTGCGCGCCGTGTTGGATGGAGGACAGACGGCGAAAATTACAAACGCGTGCGAAATAATCGGCCGCGTGTTCTAACCGTATAATCGGAGCGTCACCGAGACCGACCGCTTAAGCGTACGTTTCCTGTCAGCGTTACGAAATCCTTTCTGTAGATCTTTTTAATTCCGCCAAATAAATGGACAGCGATACTTTATGGGTTTCGGTGATCGCAATGATAGGCCGCACAGGTGGTCCTCTATAATTGTGGCCTCGGTGGGAATTATAGTAGGATTAAATAACATAGGTGCGCTATGGCACCGCCTCGCATAACCTGCTAGCCGCATGGCAGACAGATAGACAGACAGGCAGATAGGCAGATAGGCAGGTAGGCAGACAGACAGACAGACAGACAGACAGACAGACAGACAGACAGACAGTTAAACAGACAGACAGACAGACAGACAGACAGACATTAACACCTCTTCGATGCAATTTCCTGCACTCTGAGGCAGCATTCTTAAACAATCTTCATCACAATATCATTGTTGAGTTGAGTATTTTTATCTTTGGGGAGACCAAAAATATTTACTACTAAATCTGTGCTATGTACATGTCCTCAATGGGGTTACCAGTGCAGATTTACCTAGGCTAAAATACCCTTGCCCTGAAAATTCTAGGTGGGGGGCCGAACGCCCCGTGTGCTACCGACCCCCCACTGACAACTACAGCATTGGAATCATCTCCCCCTGAAATTTTGATAAAACGTATATTTTACTGAGAACACTAAAACTGTACAAAAAAGTGAGAAAAACAACCAGATTTGAACCAAAAAGTGCATATTTTCGCCACTTGTACAAAATCGGGAATATACTTCCGGTCGGGTCTCAGCACCCCCATCCCCCCCAAAAAAGTGTGATGAAATTGAATTTTTCCCATTCAATCCCCGTGAAAATTCAATATCCCAACTCTAAATTTTCCTATTCAACTTCAATATCAACTTCTTGATCAATATCAATCAATATCAATATCAATTCAATCAAATTCAATTCAAATCAATTCAAATCAAATTCAATATCAATCAATATCAACTTCAATATCAACTGATATATTCAACTTCAATATCCCTATTCTAATTTTGAATAAAGCAAGGATTTAACTTTCGTGAGCAGTGATAAGACGTGATTTGGGGATTTTGAAAAAAATCGTATATGGGGAATGCGCCCAAAATTAACCGTCTGAGTTTCAGTAAAATAATGTCATTCTTAGAATGAGTTACAGACATTTTACAGTAGATGTATGTAACTTTCCATTTGTGTAATAATACATTAGGAGAGTATGAATAGCGATGACGGATTTGTAGATAAATGTTCAGTATTTATTGTATGTAAAATATAAAAATGTTCCCCATTTTCCTCCTGAAAGTAGGGGGGATGATTGTACACGCCATCCCCCACCTCAATAAGTGGGGGGATATATCCCCCATCCCCCCGCTATCTACGTCCCTGCCAGGGTCTCTAATTATGTGTGTCGCAGCAAATCAGAAGCGTCACCGCGGGTACGTCGCCATGAAGACAGATTGCGTCAAACATTGCCATTTATTTAAGGTACGTTTACGGTATAACGACAAACAAACGTGTTGAGATGCGGGTGATTCAACCATCGGTGCGTGGATGTGCCGGCACACCCTAAACGCCCACCCTAACACCGAGCGCGTATCATAGCGGCTGTGATGCGGAGCTGCGAGGCGGCTCTCTTGCCCTGCACCCTCAGGCTTACCTGATGTGTTTATCGTGTCACCGTTGTTATAGCTCCCAGTGTTAATGCGCGAAGCCAGGGCAGCAGCTAACTCACGAGCGATTTGCATACTGGACAGCTGATCGTGGGCATTTCGGGATTGACCACGTAAAATCATTTACATTGGTCTGGCGCAACTGGCCCCTTGCCCCCCCCCTCCCGCTACTAGGGGGCCTGCTGGAATTGGTAATTTTGTCGCCATTACGTACATTTACGGGCATTCTGGCCATTTCCATTAAGCAAATTCACGGTGCTTATATAATAGATAGAAGCGTCATGATTCGTAATTGATCTCGATTTGATACGGTTTAAAAAGGACGCCACTTTTCTCTTCACAAAAGTGTGCAGGCACGTGTATATTCGTCTGCACATATCAAAAATTACCGAGCAGCGGTGGAAAGTGCGTTGGGAATCGCGAGTTTGTTGCTTCACAACAACAGTTATGCAACGAATTTTCCGCAGCCTGTCCGGTGTATTTATCTATCGTTACGCATGAGTCAAACGCGTTACAATGTCTCTCTCTCTCTCGTCAGGAGTTCACTATTGCATCTCAGCAACGCTGTTGGTCTCACAGCCACCAGTAGCTCAGTTGTCTGATCTGTATTTCTGCGTACGTGCATCCACAGCGGCGCTGCGCACAGCGTGTTTAGTTCCGCGCCCGCGCGTGAGCGTCATGCGTCTACCGACTCACACAGCTCAGTTAGCGTGTCGATTCCGGGAACTGTAACGGGAGTGGGGTTGAGGGGGCTTCGCGATTTCCGGCCTCGTGCCCGGAGCGGCTGCATTATCATTATATCAACATGTTCTGCTTGCATCTATGACAAATACGACATACGCATATACGCTCTCCTATGACACTATTTGTCGTAGGAAGATTCTTCCTATGACAAATATTGGCGAGTCAACTTCGTTCCTTTTTACAGCTGAAATTCACTGCTTGCGTTCATAATAGCGCTCCTAAACTCCTATGATGCGCACAACACATACAACAATATTTGTCATAGGAAGAATCCTCCTATGACAAATAGTGTCATAGGAGAGCGTATATATATGCGTATGTCGTATTTGCCAAAGATGCTACCAGAACAGGCTGATTATATCTTAGTGCATAGTCATTATCCTCCGCACGAAGTGTAGCGGAGGATATTGTTTTTGGCTCGTTTGTGTGTGTGTGTGTTTGTGTGTGTGTGTGTGTGTGTGTGTGTGTGTGTGTGTGTGTGTGTTTTGTGTGTTGTGTGTGTGTGTGTGTGTGTGTGTTTG